GAATTGGCTCAAACTTTCTACACAACATAAGTACATGTATATGCATCAGAAAACATTATAAAAATAGATAATTCTTTCATTGCCATTTTTTTGACAAAATACCCTGCACTACATGTATTTCCATTGTTATACATACATTGCTTTCTTTCCTAATAAAGTGAATATGAAGTCCATTACGTAGGCTGGTATAGAGTGGAGGAACAGGTGCCAAAGAGGCCATGAGAAAGCTGGTCTGCATAAATATATCTTTGGACGATGAAATATCCAATCAAACGGATTGTCATAATAAGATTTAATAACCAGTGGATCTGTGGAGGTGAAGAAAAGGGGAGGGGTCAATAACAATTGATAAATAATGATAACTGACATAGCTGTATCCATGTAATAGGATTCTGTGTGCCTGTATTGGAGTGATAGACCTTGATATCTTTGGACCTGATTAATTAACAAATATCAATTAATAAAAAATTAATAATAGTTAAATTAATAATAATTATTAGTACTTAATTAATAATTAATTAATTAATAGTAATTAATTACTTATTCATTGCTGTTGCCCATCCCACAGATAATAACATGTTATTAACAAAATCCACAGGGACAATGTCTGCCTTTCCATTGATGTCAGCTCTTAGGACTCTTAATAATCCTTTACCAGTCTTTGGGGAGAGAGAAAGGGTTAAAATCATGAGTAGGTGTGGCCACTTACCGCTACAAATAAACCACCTGGACCATGGAAACAATCTATCCAACCCTAATTAATAATAAATAAATAAATAAATAAATAATAGTATTATCACTGTCATTAAATATTTACTACAGGTGATTAGTAGTAACACATACAATAGATCATACATGACTACATTCACCAGATATGATCACTATCCTCTCTCTCTCTTTCCCTCCCTCCCTCCCTCACTAACTGGTAGTGGGTCCTTCACAGCTGCTCCAATGATACTTGGTCTCAATATGGCCACTGGAAGGTCGTGGGCTTCTTCCATTATTATTTGTTCTCCGAGGGACTTTGAGTAAGTATATGTATTGGGGCGTCCTTCAAGTAATGATGGAGTGACCATGTTCCACATGTCATCCTTGAACCAGCTGGAAATGAAAAAAGAGAGAGAGAATTATTGTATATGCATATGCCAAATCACTCAATCAGAATAGTAAACAGGACTCACTCCAAAAGATTCAAAACTTTCTTGTAGTGAACTTCATTTTGATACACTTTCTCATCGATTTGTGTCAGCTGACAGAATGCATAGGCCGTAGATACATGTACAAAGGACTGAGAGAAAGAAAGAGAGAGGAAAAGAGAGATAAATCATTATTATGAAAATAATTCT